GGAACGAGGCGAAAGGCTTGAATCGCCGGACAACATTCTTGGGAGTGGTCATCCACCATGCGAGCTGGTCCGGGTACCAAGGAACTGGGCGTGGCGGCTCGACGAAGTTACCCTCATACTCGATCGAGGTAATTTCGGGAATATAGTGATTTTTGAGCTTTTCCTGGACAGCAAGGGCGTGTCTTGAAAATGTCAGAGTTTAATGCAGCTGGGAGATTTCGGCCTGCCATGACGTACCCTTTTGACCCAGTGAAACGGAAACTGTTGGGAAGGTCCCTCCGCAGAGCTTCCCAGAATGCCTCTCTCTCTTCCTCCGGAATGAAGCCTTGTTCAGTATAGAAGCGCTCGAGCTTCTCATTCGTTTTGGGAATATCCGCGTAGTTCTGGCGCTGCCCGCGCGCACCGCCGCCACGGCCACCCTGTAACAGAGCATGTTAGGCGCGATGAACACTGGACGAGACAAAAACCAATTGATATCGGGGATGCTTACCTTTCTACCACCACGCTTAGCCATGGTGATCAAGTAATATTATTGGGATGAGAAGCCGAGGCTCAAAGATATTCTCGGCCTACTCTTGCGCAGCAATAATTATTTCTTCAATCGCGGAGCTCCAAAAAGTAAAACATCCCGCTTCGGATTAATCTCGGTCCGACTATCGATTATGTCATGCTCTATATAAACAATTTTCGACAACCTTCAAGGACTTCGACGACTCTTCTCTAGGTTAGAGGCGTGAAGCCTTATGAGGAACCTAACTAGACAAAGGTGAACCAGCAATAGTGAGAGATGATGGCCGGCGCATTGAGGTGCCTTTGTTGATATTCAACTATTCCCGAGCGTTTTCAGGCATCCGTCACCCATGAACTTCATCGCTACTTGCGCTCAAGATGAGAGTAATGAGAATGTCGCTGGAGATTTTAATGCTACTGCACGCCTTTCGAACTTGTAGTGAACACTAGCAACGATGCTTCTCGCTATTCCCCTCCATCCCAAGTCTAATATAGGAGGCAGAACTCCGAGAGACGCCCGTCGCTCCTCTTGAACACTGTGCCTGACTCATCCTTCAGTTCTCCTGAATGCTCAAAGATGAAGATGAAAATTGACCGGGGCACTTAAACTAGCCGAGATCAGCTGGATCATCTTCCTGAGGCCCGTATTGGGAAATACCAACCTATCTATTTCCCGTTAAACTGTTTGATGTGTCAACCCTACAGCCTTTGTGCGGTTGAGCCGCACGAGATACGAGATCGGGCGTTCATCTAATCCATTCTGAGCGAGACCTTGAACAGACTTTTGCTGATCAGTCCCTTTGAATCCAGTCGCAGTCGACTACTCTCAAAGTTTGTCTCAAGAGAAAATAGTTAACTCTGATTAGCACTGTGGAGTCGCTGCAGGTTCTCGTGTTTTGGGTTCAGCTCTTCCCAGCACGCACTACCGTTTCGCAGCTCTCCTCAACTCATACTTGTCGCCAAGGAGAGGCACTTTACATGGCCTGCCTCAAAAAAGGATTATCGCAGGCTAACCGACTAACTCTGATGTCAAACACGAGTTTCCTGGCCCCCTGCCATGTCCACGATGGAATCGTGCAACTTAGTGTATTGACTTTGTCCACCATTGGACCAAGCAGAGCATGAAGTTTATTCAGACAGGTCGTAGTTCAGATATGGCTGAGAATTTCCTGAGGGATCTTCACGGGTCGCGACAATGTTCGTGTCTCGGCAGAGAAGAAAGAAAAATCGTTTGAGCCTGAGAGACAACCCCTGCTCATTGCTGCCGTTTAAATTGCTGGCTTCCCCCTGGACCTGCTGTCCTAAGGTCATAACTTTCGGATTTTTAACCGTCGGTGCACTTGAAAAAGACCCAATCATGGATACCAAAGATCCCGGACAGCTTGCCCCTGCTGCTCAGCAGCCTCACGAGTGGTCCAGCTCATTCTGGGACTGTTTCTCTCCCACTGAAACCTGTACGAGATCCTTGACCTCTCAATGGCCTCGCCTCCTCCGTCTCCTCATATCTCCTCTACCATCTATTTGCTGACATTTATCCGTTCAGGTCTCGTCGGCTGGTGCGCACCATGCTGCCTGTTCGGCAAGACCCAATCTCGCCTCCAGGATCCCGCTCTGAAGGAGCACCAATACGTCAACGGCGATGTATGTATTGTCAAGTGTCTTCTCATACAACAAGCTATGATACTAACTCGCCATCTGTACCCATAGTGCTGCCTCTACGCGCTCTCCAGCTACTGCGGCCTCTACTGGGTCCTGCTTATGATCAAACGAGGTCAACTCCGTGAACGGTTTGGAATCCAGGGTTCCACGTTCCAGGATTGCTGGCAGTCCTGCCTCTGCCCGTGCTGCACGCTGGTGCAGAACGAGAAGGAGGTTGAGGCTCGGTCGAACAACATTCAGGTTGGGTATCAGCCTCCTTCGGGGATGGCTTATCCTCAGTGATGTTGTTGCGGCGAGCGTTTGTCGGTCCAGTTATAATAGTGCTATTGAGATAATAAGAGTAATGGTAATTCTGGTTCCGAGTTCGATAATGGTTTTCGGTGAGGGGTATTAGACGAGTGAAGCGATAGTCATTGCATCTCAAGGCTTGAGTGCCTGGTATCAGCGGTCATCCAACCAATAACTAAGCATGCTCAGTTTGTGAGCGAAGTCTTAAGACTGAATATTGGAACGGTAAGTTGAAGTAAAAGAGAATACACATTTTGAGTATATCAGTCAACAGTTGTGTACTGTACAGAACACGCTACCTCCGCAACTTCCACCTCTTCGATCTATTAACTACCAACGGAACAAAGGAAACATAACTGGACAGGAGGCAATGGCCATGAATTCTGAGACATCAAGAAAAACCGGTAATTTCGTTTACAGGGAGTTACGGCTCATGTCATTGCGGATGCGCTGGTAGTCCAGGATGCCCTCAATGGCACCGACAGCACTGATGGCGATGTCCTGATCCCAGATTTTGCGGTTGGCGAAGTCCATAACATCCTTCTCGGTGATGCGGCCAATGATGCGCTCAACGTCCTCAGGGCTGAGGCGACGGCCAGTGGTGATGATCTGGCGACCAATGTCCTCGGCAACGGCAGTGGTGCCGTCGAGGGACAGGAGGATGGAGGCCTTGAGCTGAGCCTTGGCACGCTCAACCTCGGCAGCGGAGACGTTGTAGCACAGGCGAGACCACTCGCGGAGGGCGAAGTGGACCAAGTCGTTGAGCCGGGTCAGGTTCTCCGAGACCATGTAGATACCCCACAGACTATATTTCGATCAGTTCACTTCCCCTAGCATTGCCATACTTTTGAAAATGACAAACTTACCCAGTGTCGCTGTAGCTGGTGGAGAAGCTCATGAAGCTGTTGGCGAGGTTGTGGTGGTTGACGAAGGAGCTGAGGCGGCTGCCGAGGTAGGGGGAGTTGCCCATGGCACGATCCCAGTTGCCGACGATGGCCTGGGCGACGAGAGCAGTGAAGTAGTCATCATCCTTCCAGCTGACACCCTCAACAGCAACGGCAATGTGGGCAGAGGGAAGAGTGTCGTCACGAATTCTGACCTCGGATCCGATAAACTCGGGGGTACGCTTCTGCTCAGCGGTGAGAGCGAGAGCAGCGGAGGTGGGAGGCTTGCTGGGGAGGGAACCGAAGTGCTGCTCAGCCAGCTTAACTAGCTGCTCGTGGGGGATGCCACCAGCACCGACCAGAACCATGCGGTCAGCGGTGTAGTTGGTCTTGATGTAGTCGGTCAAGTTATCCCGGGAGATAGTCTGAATGTTCTCCTTGGGACCGAGGATGGTGCGACCAAGGGGCTGGTTCTGGAAAGCAGTGGCGTGCAGGTGGTCAAAGACAACCTCCTCGAGCTGCTTGTCAACCTCCTCCTGCTCACGCAGAATCACATCTCTCTCACGCTCGATAGCAGCGGGCTCCAGCTTCGAGTTCTGCAGGATATCGGCGAGGATGTCGACGGCCTTTGGGACATCGTTGTTGAAAGACTTGGCGTAGTAGACAGTGTTTTCCCTCTAAAAAAAGCTCCAATTAGTTCAATTCGTCTCCTGATGAAATATCAATCCGATCATCGTTCCGGACCGTACCGAAGTGTAAGCGTTCAGGTGAGCACCCATGTTCTCGATCTCGAGTTCCAGCTGGTGCTGGGTTCTCTTGTTGGTACCCTACAATTCCGTCAGCAACCGATCCGCTACCTGGATGTTCGCGGGGTGTATACCTTGAAGGCAAGGTGCTCAAGGAAGTGTGCGGTGCCGTTGGTCTTGTCAGTCTCTGCTCGGCTGCCGGCGTCGATCCAGACGCCAACAGTGGATGTCTGAGCCCATGGGGAGTATTCAGTCGCAATCTATGGTTGATTAGCGAAATTGCGAAGCCATTGAGATGCAATTCAATTCTCTTTCGTACCGTGAATCCGTTGGAGAGAGTCGTCGACTGGGTGGTGGACGGCAAGGCGACCGGAGAAGCAAAGCCACGCTTCACGGGCTGAACGGCCTTCAAGGCAGCACGGCTCCGCAGAGCCTGGTTGAAGTTGAACGCTAGGCGCCGAGAGGCCATTGTGAAAGACTGGAGGGAGACTGAAGAGGATAGGGAGGAATTGAAAAGGACGGTTGCTGGAGATGGGGCAGTCCTGGAGATGCGAGGTTGAAGTTCGGGAGTCAAATTGTTCGCCAGCTCTCGCCAGCCAATCACATGACCCGCTTTTCCAAACCGGCCTGTCTTCCATCCCGACTGTTTCCTTCACTGCAGAAGCACCGTGCCAGCACGTTTGTGAATGGACATTGCTCGACGGGCATGATTATTGTCCTCAGTATTCACTCCGTAAACTTGTAACCTCCGGGGAAAGCTACAATTGAAGTCTTCCCCTTCTTCGTCAAACTGCTCTTCGCTGCAGCGGCTCACATAGATCCGTTCTTCCGCGATTAGATTCTTAGTTCACATACACCATTGATCTCAGCCCGATAGAAGTCAATAGCACGTGTTGCGTTGAATTCTGAGCCCATGTCTGGAAAATCTGGCCAACCACATACTTCCAAAGAATTCTGCACTGCAAATGTTCCTCGATCTAAGATTACAGACTTTGAATTCGACCCGCCGACCAGCAGGAGCCCTTGGGACCTTCTGCCGAAATGGCCTGTCACCCATCGTCATCGCATCGCCGAATTAGATTTTCTCGCAACTTATTATGACACAGTAGGTCAGACGGATAACATCAAAGCGGCCAAGGTTTGGCATGCCAGCTTTCCACTCGATGACCAGGTTGGCTATGAGACCGCTTACTTCCACCGTGGGAAGAAGGTAGAGGTCTGAGATTAACTTGCAGGAGGCTCCGGTGTGTGTTGAAGTAAGTAACTCTTACTCCTTGTGATATAGTAACTAATCATACCCATTTTAGGAACCCCCGCCAGAGATCATGATGTCCGGGCACTGCCAAAATTCTGTCCGCCCACTAGCCAGGCGTCCCGCTGCCGTCACAGGCAGCACGCCTCAACCCTCGTCTCTGGTAACACCCGCGGCCAAGACGACGAATGAGGGAGACGTGTCCGACAATGCAAATGTTCCTCTGGATCCAAACTTCATTTTCGAGCCTCCAACAAGCACAGAGCCTTGGAACTTGGTGCCAAGATGGCCAATCACGCACGGCCAGCGTATTGCTGAGTTGAAGTTTCTTGCCACCTTCTATGGCAAGAGAGGCCAAGAAGAGAATCTCCAGGCAGCAATTATTTGGCATTCAGAATTCCCTCAAGGTGCGTTAGTTGGTAATGAGTCCCGTTACTTTCAGGATGGGGCTGTTATCGATGAGTTTGATATTAAGTCTGAAGGTGGTCCTTGCTGGTATGAAGTAAGTTATAGCTCTTACTCATTGTGTTATAGTAACTAACTATATCCATTTAGGGGCCTCCTGATTATGACCTGATGGCCGGACACGATCAACGGCAACACATACTGGACTTGCTGTAACAGGTCAAAGTCTGGCAGCCACATGCTTCAGGTTTGACTATTACTCCTTGTTCTAGTCCCATTGCCCAATGCATGTATTCACCTCATCGGCATGCTGCTTCATGCTAATCATTGCTTAGATGAAATTGGAGGTGAGTGTGGCTGCTACCCATGCCGGGAATAATGAGCCCTATACAATGGATATAGGGTACAATTCCGGCTGCAAGGACATGGCCATACCTATGTCGCTGTTCGTACTAAGCAACATGAACCTGCCAGGAACCCAACAGGCTCCCCGTGGCAGGGGACATCCTAGCTGATGCCTGTGGTATGGACAAAATGACAACCCTAATCACAATGCTCTGGTATGCCTACTCACTACAGAGAGAGATCCCTTGCACACTCACTGCCCGACACTGATTCCGTGTCTAAGCGTGCTCATTGATTGTGGCTAGCGGAGCTCTGGGCCCATTTTAGTAATGTGTTTCGCATTCTCCTGTTCTAGGGCAGTTCCCTGCACACTTCTGACTACCTCCGGAAATCACTGACCATTGACACCCGGATGGGTTCTGACCTTGATTATGACGCAGCACGCCCGTCGACAGACTGCCTGGCCAAAGGAGCCGAAACAGGTGTTGACAGCGGCTCGTGCTGCCACCTTGGAAGTCGAGGTAATCTGCCGGGGAAGGCGCAGACGTGCTCCTCCCTTGGCATTATGTGGCAAACCGTTAAGGCTGTATTATATGGGGCAATTGAGGATTAGTGCTTTGTGTATATCCAGCCTGTTTAAAGCAAATCTATCTAGCACATACAAAGCCCCAGCTTAACAATCGCATGCCAGCCTGAGCATGTCACATATCTGGCCCTTGCGATTGGATTGAAGTTTATGTTTATGTCTTGCTAAAGTGACATTAATTGTTTTCAAAATGCAAAGAATACCGACAATCATAAGAATTGAAGAGAAATTGCCTTGACCGTCCTCATACTGTGGTATCATCCCGATGGAAATCAATGAAACCGACTTGCATATTGCCTGATATTCTCCACCACCGAAGGTCTTGTCTACGTGGGCCTGCCGAAGCCGTACGACTCGATTCTGGTGGGAACACCGGGAGGTGGGCGAACTAAGCAGGCGTGAGGGCTTTAATTATCAGGGTGACAGGATCAATTCATGTACATAGTGTCGCTGCTTCCTATGCTGGATGCGAAATGCTGGAGCTTGACATATAGTCTCATTGATTTAGCAACAATCATTCAGTCAGTCTTCCTCTTTTCTCTTTCCTTCAACAATACGACACTGTAAGAAGCAGCACTGGGATGGTATAGCTATCTGGGCTCCCTCATCAGCAGTTCATGAGGCTACGCACTGATGTTGATGTTGATGTCGATGTTGAAGCAGTCTTCTTTCCTGTTCCATGTAGTAATCTCTTTTCCACTGACTGTGAACACCTTGCATCATAATCAGCAAGTTCTGTGACCGATGCCTATAGGAGAATTTCAGTAATATTTCTTCTTTCTCTGTGGATCCTTTGATAATCTCACCAGTAGCTTTCATTAAGCCAAAACTGTGCCCCAGTAAGACGACACTGGTTAAGCCAAGGACGGTCTGCAGGCCAATTACAGCTTCCTAGATTTCGCACCACCCAGAAAACGGACTGATTCATCTTTTCAGACTCTTCAGGCAAGGTTTCTTTTGTAATCAAAGTCGGACATGCGGGACAGGCTTTTACCAGCTTTTCAGGGATAAGAGACAGGAGATCTTGATGGGGTTTTGAAGAAATCAAAGTCTGGTACATCTGAAGATCATTTGTGGCTTGATTCTCAGGGACAAGAGATAGGAGATCTTGATGAGGGCAAGCAAAGGTAGGCTCGGCTGTCAGATGAGCTATAGAGGAATAGAAGCTTATGATATGCTGACCTGCTAGACATAACTGGCCAGCCTTGATATATAAAACCAGAGTAACTCCCACAATGTAGCCAGTCCTAGTGCTATATGCACAATAGTGGCCAAGACGGGGATGTCCTTCATTGCTAACATAATACCTGAATAGGCCATATTGGGTGTTTGGCTTCACGGGTGATTTGAGGATCTTGATAAGCTTGTCTCGACCTCGAACCGTCAGAGAGATACAGGGACATAGGTCAGCTATACCAGCGTAGTAAGTGCAGGATCTCTCCAGCGCAGATTTTCTTAGTAAATATCTTGGAAATTCTTTCCGGGGATGGAGTTTTAGACACTGTGCACAGTAGGCCCAGTGGTGGTTTTCAAGTCGAAGAAGAAGTTGATTTCGTGGTACATCCCTACTGTTCACACACAGGATTGGATTCCTGATACGCAAGAGACGTGGAAATTTGAGTCCTTTATGCTGTACTATCGTGCTCCCGAATAGGCAAAAGAGCTCTTTACAGCTGAGAGATAGACACACTTGATCGACTAGTGAGAGGTGTTGGTAGATCTTCTGGAAGGTGCGCTCATCTAAGCAAAGTATGGCGGGGTATTCTGGCTGTTTCTTCCATTTGGCAATCTTTCGCCATGGCGACATCTTTGAGTCTTTGGGCGGAGACTGGGCCTTGATTTTAGATACAGCCGCCATGTAATGACGAGGAGACTGAGAGAGTAGACCAGAGTCTATGAATATTTTGTGCAGCGCAGCGGTGCAGAGAGAACAAAAAGACTTTAGCGCTGCCACCTGTGGTCTATGTTTATGACTTCATGACGTACTGATTGCAAGTTCTGACGCCAATCTGTCTCATAAACAGTTCCTTAGATCAATTAACCATGGATGTTGTCAGACCTGCACCATACTACCTACCCTAGTCTCCCTTTGTCTCTTCCTCGCCTCCCCGGGTATTCTAACAGGAAATTTTGTGCCGTATCTCCTCAAGAGAGATGTCCCACTGCGCAGCCAATCTCTCTCTCCACGCATCCACGGTGATCACCGGTCCATCAGAGTTCTCGGCATAACAAGCCTTTAAGATCTGCTCATCCCCGTCCACATTCTCGATACGTGCCGACACTCGAACACTCTTGGTCTTTGAGACGGGGAACATATCCCCTCCGTACAGTGGGCTCTGAAACCAGAGAGGGTTTGGGCTGCATGCAGTCATCTCACTGTCGGTTGTGGGATATCGCAGTCGATCGAGGCAGTCCCGGCCGAAATCGCATGCCGAACAGTAGACGCAATGATAGAACTCATTCTCAAAACTGGCCCCGTTGTTGCAGTCCACGCTGCCGCCGTGCGGCCGTCGCAGTACCAAGTAAAGCCCAAGTCATCAAGGTCGACAGTGGGAGAGTGAGTCTCGTGCATGTAGGAAAGGCGGCTTTCAAGCAGGCGGAGCGCGCTGGCAGTCACTTTCTTGTCTGTGTCGTGGCTCTCCGGCTTTGTCAGCGTCTCGCATACAACTGCAGAAAGAGATTCTTGCACACACATTTCCCGACATTGATGCTGTGTCTAAGGGTGCTCATTGATATGTGGCTAGCGGAGCTCTCGGCCCATCTTAGTAATGTGTTTCGCATTCTCCTGTTCCAGGGCAGTTCCCTGCACACATCTAACTACCTCCGGAAATCACTGACCATCTACACCCTGACCGGATCTGACCTTGATGATGACACAGCACCCCATCGACAGACTGCCTGGTCAAAGAAGCCCAATAGTTTGGGGGGTTGGACGGCGGCTCGTGCTGCCAGCTTGGAGGTTGAGGTACTCTGTGGAGAAGGCACAGAGTACTCCTCCCTTGGCATTGTGTCTCGAACACACGGATATGGGACCAATTGAGGACGAGTGCTCTGCGTGTATCCAGCCTCGTTTAAAGCGAATGTATCTAGCGCATACAAAGCCCCAGCTTAACAATCGCATGCCAGCCTGAGTATATCATAGATCTGCCCACCTGCGAGTGGATTAATCGTTTTCAAATTGCAAAGAATCGAAGAGAAATTGCCTTGATTGTCCTCATACTGTGATATCAGCCCGATAGAAATCAATGAAACCGACTAGCATATTGCCTGATATTCTCCACCATCGAAACATCCTCTGAGAACCCCAACTTGATAGCATGCGCAGTGTTGAAGTTAGGAGTCCACGTCTGGACAATCCGATCAACATCCGCGTCATACTTCTCTTCCACCAACTCCCGACGCTCCTTGCCTCCAATCTCCTCCAACGCATCCAACATCTCCTGGACACTAACCTTCAGACCAGGTAAATTCACCGACCTCGAAACACCAAACGCCTCCTTGGGGATAGTCCTCGCATGCAACAGATTCTTCACAACAGTGTACGGCGAGCAAATCCACAGCTCCGTACTCTTACTCACCGGCAGGATCGCCTTCTTCCCATTAAACGGCTCCCGGATGATATCGCTCGCAAAGCTGCTCGCCGCCTGGGTCGGCTGGCCCGCTCGCACCGTCACCGTGGGCAATCGCACGGCACGACCATCGATGAACCCCCGCCTCGAGTAATCATTCAGCAGCGTCTCGATGACGAGCTTCGCTGACCCGTACGAGGACGAGGGCACAGGCGGGAAATTCGTCTCGTCGATGACGAAGCCCGGGGGCGCGAGGCCGTAGACGGCCAAAGTCGAGGTGAATACCACCTTCACGCCGGGCATGGTAGTGCGTAGTCTGTCGAGGATGTACCGCGTTGCGTCAAGATTGACCCGCATCCCGAGCTCGAAGTTGGCTTCTGCGCCGCTGGACATGATCCCGTGGAGGAGGTAGACGGTGTCGTAGCGGTGGGACTCGTTGAATAGTGCGTCGACTACGCTTGGGTCGGTGAGGTCTGCTTGTACGCTCTTGGCTCGCGAGGCATGTTCGGCAGCGGAGGGAGGAACTGCGGGTGCGACGACGTCTGTGAGGAGCACTGTGGTAGTTGGTTCGCTCGAGAGTAATGCGGCAGCCAGTTCCTGGCCTACGTAGCCGCCTGCTCCGGTGATGATGATAGACATGGTGGTAGGCGCTGAGTTCTTAATCCCGAATCGGAAGTGATGTTGACTAGAAGATAGAGAAAAACTGGATATTACAA